TGGTTGGATACCAAATAGCACAAGGCCATCTTCTCGTTCTCTAACCAGTATTGTAATTTACACACTTCCGATCTAATGCATTACCCCCCGCCTTCATAGTGTTATAAAAATAATATAGGATCTTATCAGGTTTCTTTGATTCCTCTACTATTTTGTTATCATGCTGCATAGATTGCTATACGAGAACATGTGTATTTGGTTTTGGAAGATACTACTCTAAGGCTGTACAACATAAACTTAGAAGTACCTGGCTGTGTTTCCTTCTTATTTGGAACTACATGTTGGGGTACTTGTTACTTTTTTTACGCTTCCTGCCGACATAGGTCAGTTGGTTGATGCGCAATTCTACATGTAATTCTACTGACGTGAACCAGTCATCTGCTGTGATATTTCTGTTCGTATAGACGAAAGCATTGAGCAGGTAGTGGTGAGTCTTTGCATCATCAGTCCATACTTATTCGGTTTAGTTTTCTTGTAGGCACAGGAAGGACATCGGCCCACGAGCATCTCGTATTTTGTAGGGGACTCACCCGAAATATAACAATTTCGACAGTTCTCTATGAGTGTCTCGAAAATTTCACGTATTTGGAGAAATTTATCGGCATTTCTCGAGTCACAGGGTTATTATTTTCCAAATTGGTTGCCACGGACTTTAGTTCAGGTAAATGCGTAATAATCGACCAGTTGCAGGCGCTCGTTTTGACCAATTGTACATGTTTTTTCCATAGGCATAGCGAGGTCGCCCATAGGAAGTTGTTCAGGTTGATCGATAGCAGCGTCGTCCTCGGCGTAGTCTATAGTGTATTGTTCATCCGTCAACAACGAAAAAATCCATTGTGAAGGAAGTTCAAATCGTACACGCAACTGACATCCTCGGATCAAATTTGACCGCAAAGTCAACAAACCAACAATTGTGATGTTTAAATTAAACTGTGGTTTGAGGTATACGTGCTCATACCGTATGAGAAGTCACGGGACCCCCACCACATAACTGAGAAAGCTCGAATCATCCGACGATATCATTAAAGGATTAATTTCTATATTCTTGAACGAATCTATAAAATCAAAGTGGCTGGGTTTCAATTTACATAGCTCTTTGTATGGTCTTGTTTGCTGATCAACATTATATGATTTCTAGACATGTTCAATCTGTGCAGCTTCTTCACTTTCATATTAATGTCAATAAGAGCATTTCATCCATTTTTGAATAAATGTGGTTCATCACAAATTGTAGAAATACTCTGAGCATTGACTATAAAATGGAATGGACTTGATCCGTGAGTATTCTCCGAGCAAATCGTCTCAAGTGCGTTTTTGATCGTTGCGCCCTGATTAGAAATAGTGCCAACAACGCACAAACCAAGTCGCTGCTAGTTTGTGATCACATGAACAATAATCGTTTTCAGATCTGGGATTCTTGTATCTTTTACTAGATAATAAGCCACAACCTGCTTATAATTTTTACGAATCCCTCTTATCATGGAAGTAAGGGCATGATTTCTGATAAATCACTTTTTCAGAGTTCTAGTTGATTTTGTTACCTCAGAATTCAAGATTTATTAGCTGAAAATTGTACACTGTGAGCACTGGGATCAGCCCTAAACTTTGTCCAAACCCTGCAATAATCGTAAACACTAAACAAGGGTAGACATATTTCTAGTTTAACTGCCTGAAGATTTTCTCTATGGTTTATACGTAACTCTCCACCTATTATCTCATTTTTGTACATGTTCTGGGAGAACTCAACTTGCTCCCTATAAAATGCAACGTCTTCCTGCACAGGTGGTTCTGGTTAAGTGCCAGCCTGCTTCGGGTTTGTAATTAGTTGTTGCAATTTTCTGATTTCGTCGTCCTTTTTCATAATCCAGATTTCGTTTTGGCATTCCAGTTCAGCCATTTGATCCTGAAGCTCTTTTATAGTAGAATCATTATGGCATCGTATATCTGAGATTTTAAATGAGTGGTTGACCTCACGTTGGTTACTCTCGTCCATCAGACTCTTTACGTCATTTCTCAGTTTAGATTCAAGTTCTTTTAGGAAGCCAATTTCATCTTGCAGTTCAGCAATGTGTGACATCGTTACATCAGTTTGTGCAGCAGCACTTAAAGAATGTTGCATATCTTCGTACTCAGCGTCAAGCATAGCTTCTAAGTCTGCAACCTTCTTTTTTGACTCAATATTTTGAGCTTCAAGAGATGGTTTAGGGCTCTCTGATCTTCCTAGGTTCTTCAGTTGAGTACGCAGCATCTCTATTTCTGACTCGTATGTTTTTAGTCTTTTTATTATTTTTTTCCAGAAAATCGAGTCTGTATTGCAAGTCGATGAAATTCTTGCGCTTTTTGAGAATTTTTTTGAACTCTTTCTATTTCTTCGTTGTACGCATCCGTTACTTGGCGGAGTTCCTGACTGTAACGATCGAATTTAGAATTGGCTTCTGTGAGCTGTTTCTTCAGGTCCAAAATCTCCAGCTGATTATCTAGTTTAGTGAATTCTCTAAGCTCATTGAAAGATTCTTCCAGTTCTTTGAGTTGTCTTTTAAGTACACTTGCACGTCTTCAGCTATCACAGATTCTGCTTCGGCTAGTGCCTCCTCATATGTCTCTTCTTGAATAGGCCTCATTTCACGTCCGGATGATTCTTCTTTGGGTGGATAATTTTTCAATGGCATATACCCTAGGGATGCTTTTTTAGGTGATACGTTGCCATAGTGTCCAAAAGTATGACGTCTTAATGTTTTTTTCGGTGTTGATGCCGAGGCTCCCATTTGAAAGCGCCCGACAATAGATACTTCCGTTTTTAGTCTTTCTATCTCGAGCAGATACTCTTGTTTGCTTTTATCCATCTCTTTTAGCTTAATTGCCTGCTTTTTGAGCCGAGTTTCGAGATCGCGAGTCAAGTTCTGATATCCTTGAAGTGTCTCTTCTGTAGCTGACAAGATGTTTACTTTCGTTTTATTTTTGACAGTTTTAGTGCTTTGGGCGAATTCTGGTGTAGATCTAGTCTCCTCCTCTGCAGCTAAAGTAACATTCCCGATAATCAATGATTTGGCATTACCGCCAAGAGCCTGTGAGAGCAGTCTAGTCAATTTCGAATCGCGATAACTGATAAACTCCTTCCCCTCGCTTAGTTGCCTTATCACATTTCCTAATACTGACAAAGATTTGTTTATGTTAGCCCCCTCTTAAGACGCTCACAGCAGGCTTTCGTCAGAGAAACTCTCTCAGAACCAGCTAAGTCCATTAAGTTAAGGTAGCTTATATGTACAGGTCCATCTTTCTGATTGGCATCTTTCGACTCCAGAATAATCCGGAAAATCGTGTGTGATCGAGATGACCTCTCATTCAGCGAGTAGCTGCAACTCGTCTGATCTTATTGCCCTGCATCATGTTCTCCATAACTTATCAACATTGTCTACGACAGCTTCCCTTGCATCAAGCAGCACATTTCCTTTGATATCTTCTCTTATAGTAAACCCTGATTGCTCTTATCCAGGAGGTCATTGATCTTTTCATTGTAGATTTCAATACTAACTGCATCTAATCAAGTACCTCTTATCAACCTGGTCTGCCACATGCTGGAATAACTGATTGGATACTAATTGGAAAAGCCCAGGATCTGTTTTTATTGCCCAAAATGGTGTGTGTTTTGCCAGAGATGTTTGGCCATATGCAAATATTGCGGCATGGAAACCTCCAGGAAGGAATCGACTAAAGGTTTACTACAGATCCATATACATCTGAATTTGTACATTCCTGCTTAATACATGGTCGAATATATAAACCTCTCCATGGCGACTACTTTCATCGGCTTCCCATATGCAGTTTACTCTTACGTTCCAAAGACGCTCTAGACCATCGGCTACTTCGCGGTGGATCATTGGTCTGATCTTTGTGGCTACTTTAATATTGTCGGAAGTCATTTTGGAAGCTTGAACTGAAATTTAATTAGAACTAGGGCTATTTCACGGGTTATAAAGAGGGGCACTTTTCATAATCCAGATTTCGTTTTGGCATTCCAGTTCAGCCATTTGATCCTGAAGCTCTTTTATAGTAGAATCATTATGGCATCGTATATCTGAGATTTTAAATGAGTGGTTGACCTCACGTTGGTTACTCTCGTCCATCAGACTCTTTACGTCATTTCTCAGTTTAGATTCAAGTTCTTTTAGGAAGCCAATTTCATCTTGCAGTTCAGCAATGTGTGACATCGTTACATCAGTTTGTGTAGCAGCACTTAAAGAATCTTGCATATCTTCGTACTCAGCGTCAAGCATAGCTTCTAAGTCTGCAACCTTCTTTTGTGACTCATATTTTGAGCTTCAAGAATGGTTTCGGGCTCTCTGATCTTCCTAGGTCTTCAGTTGAGTACGCAGCATCTCTATTTCTGACTCGTATGTTTTTAGCTTTTTATTATTGTTTTCCAGAAAATCGAGTCTGTATTGCAAGTCGATGAAATTCTTGCGCTTTTTGAGAATTTTTTGAACTCTTTCTATGTCTTCGTTGTACGCATCCGTTACTTGGCGGAGTTTCCTGACTGTAACGATCGATTTTAGAATTGGCTTCTGTGAGCTGTTTCTTCAGGTCCAAAATCTCCAGCTGATTATCTAGTTTAGTGAATGCTCTAAGCTCATTGAAAGATTCTTCCCAGTTCTTTGCGTTGTCTTTTAAGTACACTTGCACGTCTTCAGCTATCACAGATTCTGCTTCGGCTAGTGCCTCCTCATATGTCTCTTCTTGAATAGGCCTCATTTCACGTCCGGATGATTCTTCTTTGGGTGGATAATTTTTCAATGGCATATACCCTAGGGATGCTTTTTTAGGTGATACGTTGCCATAGTGTCCAAAAGTATGACGTCTTAATGTTTTTTTCGGTGTTGTGATGCCGAGGCTCCCATTTGAAAGCGCCCGACAATAGATACTTCCGTTTTTAGTCTTCTATCTCGAGCAGATACTCTTTTTTGCTTTTATCCATCTCTTTTAGCTTAATTGCCTGCTTTTTGAGCCGAGTTTCGAGATCGCGAGTCAAGTTCTGATATCCTTGAAGTGTCTCTTCTGTAGCTGACAAGATGTTTACTTTCGTTTTATTTTTGACAGTTTTAGTGCTTGTGGGCGAATTCTGGTGTAGATCTAGTCTCCTCCTCTGCAAGCTAAGTAACACTCCCGATAATCAATGATTTGGCATTACCGCCAAGAGCCTGTGAGAGCAGTCTAGTCAATTTCGAATCGCGATAAACTGATAAACTCCTTCCCCTCGCTTAGTTGCCTTATCACATTTCCTAATACTGACAAAGATTTGTTTATGTTAGCCCCTCTTTAAGACGCTCACCAGCAGCTTTCGTCAGAGAAACTCTCTCAGAACCAGCTAAGTCCATTAAGTTAAGGTAGCTTATATGTTACAGGTCCATCTTTCTGATTGGCATCTTTCGACTCCAGAATATCCGGAAAATCGTGTGTGATCGAGATGACCTCTCATTCATGCGAGTAGCTGCAACTCGTCTGATCTTATTGCCCTGCATCATGTTCTCCATAACTTTATCACATTGTCTACGACAGCTTCCCTTGCATCAAGCAGCACATTTCCTTTGATATCTTCTCTTATAGTTAAACCCTGATTGCTCTTATCCAGGAGGTCATTGATCTTTTCATTGTAGATTTCAATATAACTGCATCTAATCAAGTACCTCTTATCAACCTGGTCTGCCACATGCTGGAATAACTGATTGGATACTAATTGGAAAAGCCAGGATCTGTTTATTGCCCAAAATGGTGTGTGTTTTGCCAGAAGATGTTTGGCCATATGCAAATATGTGGCATTGAAACCTTCCATGAAGGAATCGACTAAAGGTTTTACTACAGATCCATATACATCTGAATTTGTACATTCCTGATTAAATACATGGTCGAATATATAAACCTCTCCATGGCGACTACTTTCATCGGCTTCCCATATGCAGTTTACTCTTACGTTCCAAAGACGCTCTAGACCATCGGCTACTTCGCGGTGGATCATTGGTCTGATCTTTGTGGCTACTTTAATATTGTTGGAAGTCATTTTGGAAGCTTGAACTGAAATTTAATTAGAACTAGGGCTATTTCACGGGTTATAAAGAGGGGCAGATGTATCAGGTTGATACATTCTTTTTTCCTCCTTTCCAGTATAGAAGATTTTTTTCTCTTGTAGGCTATGAATGCGGTCCGATAGTTTAGTAGAGCTACATTTACAGGTGACTCAAAATCAAAGAAGAAACAGAATTGTTAAATTTCATATAGACTGTTATTGTTATTACAAAAAGAAGTTGAAGCAGCAGCAAATTCTCACAAATCTATAGATCCATCACTTTCAGCACCCGATTTTTCAACTTGAAAAATGCAACTCGGTGAAGAATCACAAGGTAACTGTTGTCTATTCAGACAATACTCTTCTAAAAGCAACGCGAAGTTACCTAGTGCCTTACATGAATCGCCTTCATAATTCTTCATTATTGTCAATGGAAAACTGAAATTGTTGATTATTACAGTTTTTAATGCTTCAAATAAACAGATGGTGTTCGTGTTGGAAATCCCACGTCTAATCTCGCAAAACAGGTTATCCACCGGATCTTACTATCAACATCTGAAATGCCATTACTGTTTTTAGCCATGTGTACAACAGGTTTGTACGCATAAGACACTCTTACATGAAAACTGTTTATTGTCTAAAAACGAAAATACCCCATTGAAGATGAGTAATGCAATAAATATAATCCTCGAAACTTGAACTGTAATATGAACATAAAAAAACTAACAAATGGGCCATTTAACAACATATTTGGTGTTGATATTCTACAACAAAAACAAATACTTTCTCGTATAAGGAAACATACAATAATTAACATTTATCACTTTTCACGAAACAATGTAAGTGCGCTGTGACTTTACATACTTATTACAGATTGTAGAACATTTTTTTCATTGTGTATTGTCATGTAACACCTACGTCGTTTTTTTTCTTTAACAACTGCATCAGGATCGAGAACTCTGGGCTGAGAAGTAGACGGCTTACTTTATTCGTCGTTGGTAATTTAGGATTCTTTGCATGGCTGAACGAAGCTCCCTAGGAAGTCTTGGATCTGATAACGTCCTCTCATACGAAGTTAAATTAGAGTTTGCCTCAGGGGAACAATAAAATTTCGTCGCCTAATGGAACTTTCAGTCCCAGACTGAAAAAAAAAGGAATTTACAGAAGCTGGTTGGATACCAAATAGCACAAGGCCATCTTCTCGTTCTCTAACCAGTATTGTAATTTACACACTTCCGATCTAATGCATTACCCCCCGCCTTCATAGTGTTATAAAAATAATATAGGATCTTATCAGGTTTCTTTGATTCCTCTACTATTTTGTTATCATGCTGCATAGATTGCTATACGAGAACATGTGTATTTGGTTTTGGAAGATACTACTCTAAGGCTGTACAACATAAACTTAGAAGTACCTGGCTGTGTTTCCTTCTTATTTGGAACTACATGTTGGGGTACTTGTTACTTATTTTTACGCTTCCTGCCGACATAGGTCAGTTGGTTGATGCGCAATTCTACATGTAATTCTACTGACGTGAACCAGTCATCTGCTGTGATATTTCTGTTCGTATAGACGAAAGCATTGAGCAGGTAGTGGTGAGTCTTTGCATCATCAGTCCATACTTATTCGGTTTAGTTTTCTTGTAGGCACAGGAAGGACATCGGCCCACGAGCATCTCGTATTTTGTAGGGGACTCACCCGAAATATAACAATTTCGACAGTTCTCTATGAGTGTCTCGAAAATTTCACGTATTTGGAGAAATTTATCGGCATTTCTCGAGTCACAGGGTTATTATTTTCCAAATTGGTTGCCACGGACTTTAGTTCAGGTAAATGCGTAATAATCGACCAGTTGCAGGCGCTCGTTTTGACCAATTGTACATGTTTTTTCCATAGGCATAGCGAGGTCGCCCATAGGAAGTTGTTCAGGTTGATCGATAGCAGCGTCGTCCTCGGCAAAGTCAACAAACCAACAATTGTGATGTTTAAATTAAACTGTGGTTTGAGGTATACGTGCTCATACCGTATGAGAAGTCACGGGACCCCCACCACATAACTGAGAAAGCTCGAATCATCCGACGATATCATTAAAGGATTAATTTCTATATTCTTGAACGAATCTATAAAATCAAAGTGGCTGGGTTTCAATTTACGTAGCTCTTTGTATGGTCTTGTTTGCTGATCAACATTATATGATTTCTAGACATGTTCAATCTGTGCAGCTTCTTCACTTTCATATTAATGTCAATAAGAGCATTTCATCCATTTTTGAATAAATGTGGTTCATCACAAATTGTAGAAATACTCTGAGCATTGACTATAAAATGGAATGGACTTGATCCGTGAGTATTCTCCGAGCAAATCGTCTCAAGTGCGTTTTTGATCGTTGCGCCCTGATTAGAAATAGTGCCAACAACGCACAAACCAAGTCGCTGCTAGTTTGTGATCACATGAACAATAATCGTTTTCAGATCTGGGATTCTTGTATCTTTTACTAGATAATAAGCCACAACCTGCTTATAATTTTTACGAATCCCTCTTATCATGGAAGTAAGGGCATGATTTCTGATAAATCACTTTTTCAGAGTTCTAGTTGATTTTGTTACCTCAGAATTCAAGATTTATTAGCTGAAAATTGTACACTGTGAGCACTGGGATCAGCCCTAAACTTTGTCCAAACCCTGCAATAATCGTAAACACTAAACAAGGGTAGACATATTTCTAGTTTAACTGCCTGAAGATTTTCTCTATGGTTTATACGTAACTCTCCACCTATTATCTCATTTTTGTACATGTTCTGGGAGAACTCAACTTGCTCCCTATAAAATGCAACGTCTTCCTGCACAGGTGGTTCTGGTTAAGTGCCAGCCTGCTTCGGGTTTGTAATTAGTTGTTGCAATTTTCTGATTTCGTCGTCCTTTTTCATAATCCAGATTTCGTTTTGGCATTCCAGTTCAGCCATTTGATCCTGAAGCTCTTTTATAGTAGAATCATTATGGCATCGTATATCTGAGATTTTAAATGAGTGGTTGACCTCACGTTGGTTACTCTCGTCCATCAGACTCTTTACGTCATTTCTCAGTTTAGATTCAAGTTCTTTTAGGAAGCCAATTTCATCTTGCAGTTCAGCAATGTGTGACATCGTTACATCAGTTTGTGCAGCAGCACTTAAAGAATGTTGCATATCTTCGTACTCAGCGTCAAGCATAGCTTCTAAGTCTGCAACCTTCTTTTTTGACTCAATATTTTGAGCTTCAAGAGATGGTTTAGGGCTCTCTGATCTTCCTAGGTTCTTCAGTTGAGTACGCAGCATCTCTATTTCTGACTCGTATGTTTTTAGTCTTTTTATTATTTTTTTCCAGAAAATCGAGTCTGTATTGCAAGTCGATGAAATTCTTGCGCTTTTTGAGAATTTTTTGAACTCTTTCTATTTCTTCGTTGTACGCATCCGTTACTTGGCGGAGTTCCTGACTGTAACGATCGAATTTAGAATTGGCTTCTGTGAGCTGTTTCTTCAGGTCCAAAATCTCCAGCTGATTATCTAGTTTAGTGAATTCTCTAAGCTCATTGAAAGATTCTTCCAGTTCTTTGAGTTGTCTTTTAAGTACACTTGCACGTCTTCAGCTATCACAGATTCTGCTTCGGCTAGTGCCTCCTCATATGTCTCTTCTTGAATAGGCCTCATTTCACGTCCGGATGATTCTTCTTTGGGTGGATAATTTTTCAATGGCATATACCCTAGGGATGCTTTTTTAGGTGATACGTGCCATAGTGTCCAAAAGTATGACGTCTTAATGTTTTTTTCGGTGTTGATGCCGAGGCTCCCATTTGAAAGCGCCCGACAATAGATACTTCCGTTTTTAGTCTTTCTATCTCGAGCAGATACTCTTGTTTGCTTTTATCCATCTCTTTTAGCTTAATTGCCTGCTTTTTGAGCCGAGTTTCGAGATCGCGAGTCAAGTTCTGATATCCTTGAAGTGTCTCTTCTGTAGCTGACAAGATGTTTACTTTCGTTTTATTTTTGACAGTTTTAGTGCTTTGGGCGAATTCTGGTGTAGATCTAGTCTCCTCCTCTGCAGCTAAAGTAACATTCCCGATAATCAATGATTTGGCATTACCGCCAAGAGCCTGTGAGAGCAGTCTAGTCAATTTCGAATCGCGATAACTGATAAACTCCTTCCCCTCGCTTAGTTGCCTTATCACATTTCCTAATACTGACAAAGATTTGTTTATGTTAGCCCCCTCTTTAAGACGCTCACCAGCAGCTTTCGTCAGAGAAACTCTCTCAGAACCAGCTAAGTCCATTAAGTTAAGGTAGCTTATATGTACAGGTCCATCTTTCTGATTGGCATCTTTCGACTCCAGAATAATCCGGAAAATCGTGTGTGATCGAGATGACCTCTCATTCATGCGAGTAGCTGCAACTCGTCTGATCTTATTGCCCTGCATCATGTTCTCCATAACTTTATCAACATTGTCTACGACAGCTTCCCTTGCATCAAGCAGCACATTTCCTTTGATATCTTCTCTTATAGTTAAACCCTGATTGCTCTTATCCAGGAGGTCATTGATCTTTTCATTGTAGATTTCAATATAACTGCATCTAATCAAGTACCTCTTATCAACCTGGTCTGCCACATGCTGGAATAACTGATTGGATACTAATTGGAAAAGCCCAGGATCTGTTTTATTGCCCAAAATGGTGTGTGTTTTGCCAGAAGATGTTTGGCCATATGCAAATATTGTGGCATTGAAACCTTCCATGAAGGAATCGACTAAAGGTTTTACTACAGATCCATATACATCTGAATTTGTACATTCCTGCTTAAATACATGGTCGAATATATAAACCTCTCCATGGCGACTACTTTCATCGGCTTCCCATATGCAGTTACTCTTACGTTCCAAAGACGCTCTAGACCATCGGCTACTTCGCGGTGGATCATTGGTCTGATCTTTGTGGCTACTTTAATATTGTCGGAAGTCATTTTGGAAGCTTGAACTGAAATTTAATTAGAACTAGGGCTATTTCACGGGTTATAAAGAGGGGCACTTTTCATAATCCAGATTTCGTTTTGGCATTCCAGTTCAGCATTTGATCCTGAAGCTCTTTTATAGTAGAATCATTATGGCATCGTATATCTGAGATTTTAAATGAGTGGTTGACCTCACGTTGGTTACTCTCGTCCATCAGACTCTTTACGTCATTTCTCAGTTTAGATTCAAGTTCTTTTAGGAAGCCAATTTCATCTTGCAGTTCAGCAATGTGTGACATCGTTACATCAGTTTGTGTAGCAGCACTTAAAGAATCTTGCATATCTTCGTACTCAGCGTCAAGCATAGCTTCTAAGTCTGCAACCTTCTTTTTTGACTCAATATTTTGAGCTTCAAGAGATGGTTTAGGGCTCTCTGATCTTCCTAGGTTCTTCAGTTGAGTACGCAGCATCTCTATTTCTGACTCGTATGTTTTTAGTCTTTTTATTATTTTTTTTCCAGAAAATCGAGTCTGTATTGCAAGTCGATGAAATTCTTGCGCTTTTTGAGAATTTTTTTGAACTCTTTCTATTTCTTCGTTGTACGCATCCGTTACTTGGCGGAGTTCCTGACTGTAACGATCGAATTTAGAATTGGCTTCTGTGAGCTGTTTCTTCAGGTCCAAAATCTCCAGCTGATTATCTAGTTTAGTGAATTCTCTAAGCTCATTGAAAGATTCTTCCAGTTCTTTGAGTTGTCTTTTAAGTACACTTGCACGTCTTCAGCTATCACAGATTCTGCTTCGGCTAGTGCCTCCTCATATGTCTCTTCTTGAATAGGCCTCATTTCACGTCCGGATGATTCTTCTTTGGGTGGATAATTTTTCAATGGCATATACCCTAGGGATGCTTTTTTAGGTGATACGTTGCCATAGTGTCCAAAAGTATGACGTCTTAATGTTTTTTTCGGTGTTGATGCCGAGGCTCCCATTTGAAAGCGCCCGACAATAGATACTTCCGTTTTTAGTCTTTCTATCTCGAGCAGATACTCTTGTTTGCTTTTATCCATCTCTTTTAGCTTAATTGCCTGCTTTTTGAGCCGAGTTTCGAGATCGCGAGTCAAGTTCTGATATCCTTGAAGTGTCTCTTCTGTAGCTGACAAGATGTTTACTTTCGTTTTATTTTTGACAGTTTTAGTGCTTTGGGCGAATTCTGGTGTAGATCTAGTCTCCTCCTCTGCAGCTAAAGTAACATTCCCGATAATCAATGATTTGGCATTACCGCCAAGAGCCTGTGAGAGCAGTCTAGTCAATTTCGAATCGCGATAACTGATAAACTCCTTCCCCTCGCTTAGTTGCCTTATCACATTTCCTAATACTGACAAAGATTTGTTTATGTTAGCCCCCTCTTTAAGACGCTCACCAGCAGCTTTCGTCAGAGAAACTCTCTCAGAACCAGCTAAGTCCATTAAGTTAAGGTAGCTTATATGTACAGGTCCATCCTTCTGATTGGCATCTTTCGACTCCAGAATAATCCGGAAAATCGTGTGTGATCGAGATGACCTCTCATTCATGCGAGTAGCTGCAACTCGTCTGATCTTATTGCCCTGCATCATGTTCTCCATAACTTTATCAACATTGTCTACGACAGCTTCCCTTGCATCAAGCAGCACATTTCCTTTGATATCTTCTCATAGTTAAACCCTGATTGCTCTTATCCAGGAGGTCATTGATCTTTTCATTGTAGATTTCAATATAACTGCATCTAATCAAGTACCTCTTATCAACCTGGTCTGCCACATGCTGGAATAACTGATTGGATACTAATTGGAAAAGCCCAGGATCTGTTTTATTGCCCAAAATGGTGTGTGTTTTGCCAGAAGATGTTTGGCCATATGCAAATATTGTGGCATTGAAACCTTCCATGAAGGAATCGACTAAAGGTTTTACTACAGATCCATATACATCTGAATTTGTACATTCCTGATTAAATACATGGTCGAATATATAAACCTCTCCATGGCGACTACTTTCATCGGCTTCCCATATGCAGTTTACTCTTACGTTCCAAAGACGCTCTAGACCATCGGCTACTTCGCGGTGGATCATTGGTCTGATCTTTGTGGCTACTTTAATATTGTTGGAAGTCATTTTGGAAGCTTGAACTGAAATTTAATTAGAACTAGGGCTATTTCACGGGTTATAAAGAGGGGCAGATGTATCAGGTTGATACATTCTTTTTTTCCTCCTTTCCAGTATAGAAGATTTTTTTCTCTTGTAGGCTATGAATGCGGTCCGATAGTTTAGTAGAGCTACATTTACAGGGTGACTCAAAATCAAAGAAGAAACAGAATTGTTAAATTTCATATAGACTGTTATTGTTATTACAAAAAGAAGTTGAAGCAGCAGCAAATTCTCACAAATCTATAGATCCATCACTTTCAGCACCCGATTTTTCAACTTGAAAAATGCAGCTCGGTGAAGAATCACAAGGTAACTGTTGTCTATTCAGACAATACTCTTCTAAAAGCAACGCGAAGTTACCTAGTGCCTTACATGAATCGCCTTCATAATTCTTCATTATTGTCAATGGAAAACTGAAATTGTTGATTATTACAGTTTTTAATGCTTCAAATAAACAGATGGTGTTCGTGTTGGAAATCCCACGTCTAATCTCGCAAAACAGGTTATCCACCGGATCTTACTATCAACATCTGAAATGCCATTACTGTTTTTAGCCATGTGTACAACAGGTTTGTACGCATAAGACACTCTTACATGAAAACTGTTTATTGTCTAAAAACGAAAATACCCCATTGAAGATGAGTAATGCAATAAATATAATCCTCGAAACTTGAACTGTAATATGAACATAAAAAAACTAACAAAATGGGCCATTTAACAACATATTTGGTGTTGATATTCTACAACAAAAACAAATACTTTCTCGTATAAGGAAACATACAATAATTAACATTTATCACTTTTCACGAAACAATGTAAGTGCGCTGTGACTTTACATACTTATTACAGATTGTAGAACATTTTTTTCATTGTGTATTGTCATGTAACACCTACGTCGTTTTTTTCTTTAACAACTGCATCAGGATCGAGAACTCTGGGCTGAGAAGTAGACGGCTTACTTTATTCGTCGTTGGTAATTTAGGATTCTTTGCATGGCTGAACGAAGCTCCCTAGGAAGTCTTGGATCTGATAAACGTCCTCTCATACGAAGTTAAATTAGAGTTTGCCTCAGGGGAACAATAAAATTTCGTCGCCTAATGGAACTTTCAGTCCCAGACTGAAAAAAAAAGGAATTTACAGAAGCTGGTTGGATACCAAATAGCACAAGGCCATCTTCTCGTTCTCTAACCAGTATTGTAATTTACACACTTCCGATCTAATGCATTACCCCCCGCCTTCATAGTGTTATAAAAATAATATAGGATCTTATCAGGTTTCTTTGATTCCTCTACTATTTTGTTATCATGCTGCATACATTCCTATACGAGAACATGTGTATTTGGTTTTGGAAGATACTACTCTAAGGCTGTACAACATAAACTTAGAAGTACCTGGCTGTGTTTCCTTCTTATTTGGAACTACATGTTGGGGTACTTGTTACTTATTTTTACGCTTCCTGCCGACATAGGTCAGTTGGTTGATGCGCAATTCTACATGTAATTCTACTGACGTGAACCAGTCATCTGCTGTGATATTTCTGTTCGTATAGACGAAAGCATTGAGCAGGTAGTGGTGAGTCTTTGCATCATCAGTCCATACTTATTCGGTTTAGTTTTCTTGTACGCACAGGAAGGACATCGGCCCACGAGCATCTCGTATTTTGTAGGGGACTCACCCGAAATATAACAATTTCGACAGTTCTCTATGAGTGTCTCGAAAATTTCACGTATTTGGAGAAATTTATCGGCATTTCTCGAGTCACAGGGTTATTATTTTCCAAATTGGTTGCCACGGACTTTAGTTCAGGTAAATGCGTAATAATCGACCAGTTGCAGGCGCTCGTTTTGACCAATTGTACATGTTTTTTCCATAGGCATAGCGAGGTCGCCCATAGGAAGTTGTTCAGGTTGATCGATAGCAGCGTCGTCCTCGGCAAAGTCAACAAACCAACAATTGTGATGTTTAAATTAAACTGTGGTTTGAGGTATACGTGCTCATACCGTATGAGAAGTCACGGGACCCCCACCACATAACTGAGAAAGCTCGAATCATCCGACGATATCATTAAAGGATTAATTTCTATATTCTTGAACGAATCTATAAAATCAAAGTGGCTGGGTTTCAATTTACATAGCTCTTTGTATGGTCTTGTTTGCTGATCAACATTATATGATTTCTAGACATGTTCAATCTGTGCAGCTTCTTCACTTTCATATTAATGTCAATAAGAGCATTTCATCCATTTTTGAATAAATGTGGTTCATCACAAATTGTAGAAATACTCTGAGCATTGACTATAAAATGGAATGGACTTGATCCGTGAGTATTCTCCGAGCAAATCGTCTCAAGTGCGTTTTTGATCGTTGCGCCCTGATTAGAAATAGTGCCAACAACGCACAAACCAAGTCGCTGCTAGTTTGTGATCACATGAACAATAATCGTTTTCAGATCTGGGATTCTTGTATCTTTTACTAGATAATAAGCCACAACCTGCTTATAATTTTTACGAATCCCTCTTATCATGGAAGTAAGGGCATGATTTCTGATAAATCACTTTTCAGAGTTCTAGTTGATTTTGTTACCTCAGAATTCAAGATTTATTAGCTGAAAATTGTACACTGTGAGCACTGGGATCAGCCCTAAACTTTGTCCAAACCCTGCAATAATCGTAAACACTAAACAAGGGTAGACATATTTCTAGTTTAACTGCCTGAAGATTTTCTCTATGGTTTATACGTAACTCTCCACCTATTATCTCATTTTTGTACATGTTCTGGGAGAACTCAACTTGCTCCCTATAAAATGCAACGTCTTCCTGCACAGGTGGTTCTGGTTAAGTGCCAGCCTGCTTCGGGTTTGTAATTAGTTGTTGCAATTTTCTGATTTCGTCGTCCTTTTTCATAATCCAGATTTCGTTTTGGCATTCCAGTTCAGCCATTTGATCCTGAAGCTCTTTTATAGTAGAATCATTATGGCATCGTATATCTGAGATTTTAAATGAGTGGTTGACCTCACGTTGGTTACTCTCGTCCATCAGACTCTTTACGTCATTTCTCAGTTTAGATTCAAGTTCTTTTAGGAAGCCAATTTCATCTTGCAGTTCAGCAATGTGTGACATCGTTACATCAGTTTGTGCAGCAGCACTTAAAGAATGTTGCATATCTTCGTACTCAGCGTCAAGCATAGCTTCTAAGTCTGCAACCTTCTTTTTGACTCAATATTTTGAGCTTCAAGAGATGGTTTAGGGCTCTCTGATCTTCCTAGGTTCTTCAGTTGAGTACGCAGCATCTCTATTTCTGACTCGTATGTTTTTAGTCTTTTTATTATTTTTTTCCAGAAAATCGAGTCTGTATTGCAAGTCGATGAAATTCTTGCGCTTTTTGAGAATTTTTTTGAACTCTTTCTATTTCTTCGTTGTACGCATCCGTTACTTGGCGGAGTTCCTGACTGTAACGATCGAATTTAGAATTGGCTTCTGTGAGCTGTTTCTTCAGGTCCAAAATCTCCAGCTGATTATCTAGTTTAGTGAATTCTCTAAGCTCATTGAAAGATTCTTCCAGTTCTTTGAGTTGTCTTTTAAGTACACTTGCACGTCTTCAGCTATCACAGATTCTGCTTCGGCTAGTGCCTCCTCATATGTCTCTTCTTGAATAGGCCTCATTTCACGTCCGGATGATTCTTCTTTGGGTGGATAATTTTTCAATGGCATATACCCTAGGGATGCTTTTTTAGGTAATACGTTGCCATAGTGTCCAAAAGTATGACGTCTTAATGTTTTTTTCGGTGTTGATGCCGAGGCTCCCATTTGAAAGCGCCCGACAATAGATACTTCCGTTTTTAGTCTTTCTATCTCGAGCAGATACTCTTGTTTGCTTTATCCATCTCTTTTAGCTTAATTGCCTGCTTTTTGAGCCGAGTTTCGAGATCGCGAGTCAAGTTCTGATATCCTTGAAGTGTCTCTTCTGTAGCTGACAAGATGTTTACTTTCGTTTTATTTTTGACAGTTTTAGTGCTTTGGGCGAATTCTGGTGTAGATCTAGTCTCCTCCTCTGCAGCTAAAGTAACATTCCCGATAATCAATGATTTGGCATTACCGCCAAGAGCCTGTGAGAGCAGTCTAGTCAATTTCGAATCGCGATAACTGATAAACTCCTTCCCCTCGCTTAGTTGCCTTATCACATTTCCTAATACTGACAAAGATTTGTTTATGTTAGCCCCCTCTTTAAGACGCTCACCAGCAGCTTTCGTCAGAGAAACTCTCTCAGAACCAGCTAAGTCCATTAAGTTAAGGTAGCTTATATGTACAGGTCCATCTTTCTGATTGGCATCTTTCGACTCCAGAATAATCCGGAAAATCGTGTGTGATCGAGATGACCTCTCATTCATGCGAGTAGCTGCAACTCGTCTGATCTTATTGCCCTGCATCATGTTCTCCATAACTTTATCAACATTGTCTACGACAGCTTCCCTTGCATCAAGCAGCACATTTCCTTTGATATCTTCTCTTATAGTTAAACCCTGATTGCTCTTATCCAGGAGGTCATTGATCTTTTCATTGTAGATTTCAATATAACTGCATCTAATCAAGTACCTCTTATCAACCTGGTCTGCCACATGCTGGAATAACTGATTGGATACTAATTGGAAAAGCCCAGGATCTGTTTTATTGCCCAAAATGGTGTGTGTTTTGCCAGAAGATGTTTGGCCATATGCAAATATTGTGGCATTGAAACCTTCCATGAAGGAATCGACTAAAGGTTTTACTACAGATCCATATACATCTGAATTTGTACATTCCTGCTTAAATACATGGTCGAATATATAAACCTCTCCATGGCGACTACTTTCATCGGCTTCCCATATGCAGTTTACTCTTACGTTCCAAAGACGCTCTAGACCATCGGCTACTTCGCGGTGGATCATTGGTCTGATCTTTGTGGCTACTTTAATATTGTCGGAAGTCATTTTGGAAGCTTGAACTGAAATTTAATTAGAACTAGGGCTATTTCACGGGTTATACAGAGGGCACTTTTCATAATCCAGATTTCGTTTTGGCCATTCCAGTTCAGCCATTGATCCTGAAGCTCTTTTATAGTAGAATCATTATGGCATCGTATATCTGAGATTTTAAATGAGTGGTTGACCTCACGTTGGTTACCCTCGTCCATCAGACTCTTACGTCATTTCTCAGTTTAGATTCAAGTTTCTTTTAGGAAGCCAATTTCATCTTGCAGTTCAGCAATGTGTGACATCGTTACATCAGTTTGTGTAGCAGCACTAAAGAATCTTGCATATCTTCGTACTCAGCGTCAAGCATAGCTTCTAAGTCTGGCAACCTTCTTTTTTGACTCAATATTTTGAGCTTCAAGAGATGGTTTAGGGCTCTCTGATCTTCCTAGGTTCTTCAGTTGAGTACGCAGCATCTCTATTTCTGACTCGTATGTTTTAGTCTTTTATTATTTTTTTCCAGAAAATCGAGTCTGTATTGCAAAGTCGATGAAATTCTTGCGCTTTTTGAGAATTTTTTTGAACTCTTTCTATTCTCTTCGTTGTACGCAATCGTTACTTGGCGGAGTTCCTGACTGTAACGATCGATTTTAGAATTGGCTTCTGTGAGCTGTTTCTTCAGGTCCAAAATCTCCAGCTGATTATCTAGTTTAGTGAATTCTCTAAGCTCATTGAAGATTCTTCCAGTTCTTTGCGTTGTCTTTTAAGTACACTTGCACGTCTTCAGCTATCACAGATTCTGCTTCGGCTAGTGCCTCCTCATATGTCTCTTCTTGAATAGGCCTCATTTCACGTCCGGATGATTCTTCTTTGGGTGGATAATTTTTCAATGGCATATACCCTAGGGATGCTTTTGTAGGTGATACGTTGCCATAGTGTCCAAAAGTATGACGTCTTAATGTTTTTTTCGGTGTTGATGCCGAGGCTCCCATTTGAAAGCGCCCGACAATAGATACTTCGTTTTTAGTCTTTCTATCTCGAGCAGATACTCTTGTTTGCTTTTATCCATCTCTTTTAGCTTAATTGCCTGCTTTTTGAGCCGAGTTTCGAGATCGCGAGTCAAGTTCTGATATCCTTGAAGTGTCTCTTCTGTAGCTGACAAGATGTTTACTTTCGTTTTATTTTTGACAGTTTTAGTGCTTTGGGCGAATTCTGGTGTAGATCTAGTCTCCTCCTCTGCAGCTAAAGTAACATTCCCGATAATCAATGATTTGGCATTACCGCCAAGAGCCTGTGAGAGCAGTCTAGTCAATTTCGAATCGCGATAACTGATAAACTCCTTCCCCTCGCTTAGTTGCCTTATCACATTTCCTAATACTGACAAAGATTTGTTTATGTTAGCCCCCTCTTTAAGACGCTCACCAGCAGCTTTCGTCAGAGAAACTCTCTCAGAACCAGCTAAGTCCATTAAGTTAAGGTAGCTTATATGTACAGGTCCATCTTTCTGATTGGCATCTTTCGACTCCAGAATAATCCGGAAATCGTGTGTGATCGAGATGACCTCTCATTCATGCGAGTAGCTGCAACTCGTCTGATCTTATTGCCCTGCATCATGTTCTCCATAACTTTATCAACATTGTCTACGACAGCTTCCCTTGCATCAAGCAGCACATTTCCTTGATATCTTCTCTATAGTTAAACCCTGATTGCTCTTATCCAGGAGGTCATTGATCTTTTCATTGTAGATTTCAATATAACTGCATCTAATCAAGTACCTCTTATCAACCTGGTCTGCCACATGCTGGAATAACTGATTGGATACTAATTGGAAAAGCCCAGGATCTGTTTTATTGCCCAAAATGGTGTGTGTTTTGCCAGAAGATGTTTGGCCATATGCAAATATTGTGGCATTGAAACCTTCCATGAAGGAATCGACTAAAGGTTTTACTACAGATCCATATACATCTGAATTTGTACATTCCTGATTAAATACATGGTCGAATATATAAACCTCTCCATGGCGACTACTTTCATCGGCTTCCCATATGCAGTTTACTCTTACGTTCCAAAGACGCTCTAGACCATCGGCTACTTCGCGGTGGATCATTGGTCTGATCTTTGTGGCTACTTTAATATTGTTGGAAGTCATTTTGGAAGCTTGAACTGAAATTTAATTAGAACTAGGGCTATTTCACGGGTTATAAAGAGGGGCAGATGTATCAGGTTGATACATTCTTTTTTTCCTCCTTTCCAGTATAGAAGATTTTTTCTCTTGTAGGCTATGAATGCGGTCCGATAGTTTAGTAGAGCTACATTTAACAGGGTGACTCAAAATCAAAGAAGAAACAGAATTGTTAAATTTCATATAGACTGTTATTGTTATTACAAAAGAAGTTGAAGCAGCAGCAAATTCTCACAAATCTATAGATCCATCACTTTCAGCACCCGATTTTTCAACGTGAAAAATGCAGCTCGGTGAAGAATCACAGGTAACTGTTGTCTATTCAGACAATACTCTTCTAAAAGCAACGCGAAGTTACCTAGTGCCTTACATGAATCGCCTTCATAATTCTTCATTATTGTCAATGGAAAACTGAAATTGTTGATTATTACAGTTTTTTAATGCTTCAAATAACAGATGGTGTTCGTGTTGAAATCCCACGTCTAATCTCGCAAAACAGGTTATCCACCGGATCTTACTATCAACATCTGAAATGCCATTACTGTTTTTAGCCATGTGTACAACAGGTTTGTACGCATAAGACACTCTTACATGAAAACTGTTTATTGTCTAAAAACGAAAATACCCCATTGAAGATGAGTAATGCAATAAATATAATCCTCGAAACTTGAACTGTAATATGAACATAAAAAAACTAACAAAATGGGCCATTTAACAACATATTTGGTGTTGATATTCTACAACAAAAACAAATACTTTCTCGTATAAGGAAACATACAATAATAACATTTATCACTTTTCACGAAACAATGTAAGTGCGCTGTGACTTTACATACTTATTACAGATTGTAGAACATTTTTTCATTGTGTATTGTCATGTAACACCTACGTCGTTTTTTTTCTTTAACAACTGCATCAGGATCGAGAACTCTGGGCTGAGAAGTAGACGGCTTACTTTATTCGTCGTTGGTAATTTAGGATTCTTGCATGGCTGAACGAAGCTCCCTAGGAAGTCTTGGATCTGATAACGTCCTCTCATACGAAGTTAAATTAGAGTTTGCCTCAGGGGAACAATAAAATTTCGTCGCCTAATGGAACTTTCAGTCCCAGACTGAAAAAAAAAAGGAATTTACAGAAGCTGGTTGGATACCAAATAGCACAAGGCCATCTTCTCGTTCTCTAACCAGTATTGTAATTTACACACTTCCGATCTAATGCATTACCCCCCGCCTTCATAGTGTTATAAAAATAATATAGGATCTATCAGGTTTCTTTGATTCCTCTACTATTTTGTTATCATGCTGCATAGATTGCTATACGAGAACATGTGTATTTGGTTTTGGAAGATACTACTCTAAGGCTGTACAACATAAACTTAGAAGTACCTGGCTGTGTTTCCTTCTTATTTGGAACTACATGTTGGGGTACTTGTTACTTATTTTTACGCTTCCTGCCGACATAGGTCAGTTGGTTGATGCGCAATTCTACATGTAATTCTACTGACGTGAACCAGTCATCTGCTGTGATATTTCTGTTCGTATAGACGAAAGCATTGAGCAGGTAGTGGTGAGTCTTTGCATCATCAGTCCATACTTATTCGGTTTAGTTTTCTTGTAGGCCACAGGAAGGACATCGGCCCACGAGCATCTCGTATTTTGTAGGGGACTCACCCGAAATATAACAATTTCGACAGTTCTCTATGAGTGTCTCGAAAATTTCACGTATTTGGAGAAATTTATCGGCATTTCTCGAGTCACAGGGTTATTATTTTCCAAATTGGTTGCCACGGACTTTAGTTCAGGTAAATGCGTAATAATCGACCAGTTGCAGGCGCTCGTTTTGACCAATTGTACATGTTTTTTCCATAGGCATAGCGAGGTCGCCCATAGGAAGTTGTTCAGGTTGATCGATAGCAGCGTCGTCTCGGCGTAGTCTATAGTGTATTGTTATCCGTCAAAACGAAAAAATCCATTGTGAAGGAAGTTCCAAATCGTACACGCAACTGACATCCTCGGATCAAATTTGACCGCAAAGTCAACAAACCAACAATTGTGATGTTTTAAATTAAACTGTGGTTTGAGGTATACGTGCTCATCCGTATGAGAAGTCACGGACCCCCCACCACATAACTGAGAAAGCTCGAATCATCCGACGATATCATTAAAGGATTAATTTCTATATCTTGAACGAATCTATAAAATCAAAGTGGCTGGGTTTCAATTTACATAGCTCTTTGTATGGTCTTGTTTGCTGATCAACATTATATGATTTCTAGAACATGGTCAATCTGTGCAGCGTTCTTCACTTTCATATTAATGTCAATAAGAGCATTTCATCCATTTTTGAATAAATGTGGTTCATCACAAATTGTAGAAATACTCTGAGCATTGACTATAAAATGGAATGGACTTGATCCGTGAGTATTCTCCGAGCAAATCGTCTCAAGTGCGTTTTTGATCGTTGCGCCCTGATTAGAAATAGTGCCAACAACGCACAAACCAAGTCGCGCTAGTTTGTGATCACATGAAAATAATCGTTTCAGATCTGGGATTCTTGTATCTTTTACTAGATAATAAGCCACAACCTGCTTATAATTTTTACGAATCCCTTTATCATGGAAGTAAGGCATGATTTCTGATAAATCACTTTTTCAGAGTTCTAGTTGATTTTGTTACCTCAGAATTCAAGATTTATTAGCTGAAAATTGTACACTGTGAGCACTGGGATCAGCCCTAAACTTTGTCCAAACCCTGCATAATCGTAAACACTAAACAAGGGTAGACTATTTCTAGTTTAACTGCCTGAAGATTTTCTCTATGGTTTATACGTAACTCTCCACCTATTATCTCATTTTTGTACATGTTCTGGGAGAACTCAACTTGCTCCCTATAAAATGCAACGTCTTCCTGCACAGGTGGTTCTGGTTAAGTGCCAGCCTGCTTCGGGTTTGTAATTAGTTGTTGCAATTTTCTGATTTCGTCGTCCTTTTTCATAATCCAGATTTCGTTTTGGCATTCCAGTTCAGCCATTTGATCCTGAAGCTCTTTTATAGTAGAATCATTATGGCATCGTATATCTGAGATTTTAAATGAGTGGTTGACCTCACGTTGGTTACTCTCGTCCATCAGACTCTTTACGTCATTTCTCAGTTTAGATTCAAGTTCTTTTAGGAAGCCAATTTCATCTTGCAGTTCAGCAATGTGTGACATCGTTACATCAGTTTGTGCAGCAGCACTTAAAGAATGTTGCTATCTTCGTACTCAGCGTCAAGCATAGCTTCTAAGTCTGCAACCTTCTTTTTTGACTCAATATTTTGAGCTTCAAGAGATGGTTTAGGGCTCTCTGATCTTCCTAGGTTCTTCAGTTGAGTACGCAGCATCTCTATTTCTGACTCGTATGTTTTTAGTCTTTTTATTATTTTTTTCCAGAAAATCGAGTCTGTATTGCAAGTCGATGAAATTCTTGCGCTTTTTGAGAATTTTTTTGAACTCTTTCTATTTCTTCGTTGTACGCATCCGTTACTTGGCGGAGTTCCTGACTGTAACGATCGAATTTAGAATTGGCTTCTGTGAGCTGTTTCTTCAGGTCCAAAATCTCCAGCTGATTATCTAGTTTAGTGAATTCTATAGCTCATTGAAAGATTCTTCCAGTTCTTTGAGTTGTCTTTTAAGTACACTTGCACGTCTTCAGCTATCACAGATTCTGCTTCGGCTAGTGCCTCCTCATATGTCTCTTCTTGAATAGGCCTCATTTCACGTCCGGATGATTCTTCTTTGGGTGGATAATTTTTCAATGGCATATACCCTAGGGATGCTTTTTTAGGTGATACGTTGCCAGTGTCCAAAAGTATGACGTCTTAATGTTTTTTTCGGTGTTGATGCCGAGGCTCCCATTTGAAAGCGCCCGACAATAGATACTTCCGTTTTTAGTCTTTCTATCTCGAGCAGATACTCTTGTTTGCTTTTATCCATCTCTTTTAGCTTAATTGCCTGCTTTTGAGCCGAGTTTCGAGATCGCGAGTCAAGTTCTGATATCCTTGAAGTGTCTCTTCTGTAGCTGACAAGATGTTTACTTTCGTTTTATTTTGACAGTTTTAGTGCTTTGGGCGAATTCTGGTGTAGATCTAGTCTCCTCTCTGCAGCTAAAGTAACATTCCCGATAATCAATGATTTGGCATTACCGCCAAGAGCCTGTGAGAGCAGTCTAGTCAATTTCGAATCGCGATAACTGATAAACTCCTTCCCCTCGCTTAGTTGCCTTATCACATTTCCTAATACTGACAAAGATTTGTTTATGTTAGCCCCCTCTTTAAGACGCTCACCAGCAGCTTTCGTCAGAGAAACTCTCTCAGAACCAGCTAAGTCCATTAAGTTAAGGTAGCTTATATGTACAGGTCCATCTTTCTGATTGGCATCTTTCGACTCCAGAATAATCCGGAAAATCGTGTGTGATCGAGATGACCTCTCATTCATGCGAGTAGCTGCAACTCGTCTGATCTTATTGCCCTGCATCATGTTCTCCATAACTTTATCAACATTGTCTACGACAGCTTCCCTTGCATCGCAGCACATTTCCTTTGATCTTCTCTTATAGTTAAACCCTGATTGCTCTTATCCAGGAGGTCATTGATCTTTTCATTGTAGATTTCAATATAACTGCATCTAATCAAGTACCTCTTATCAACCTGGTCTGCCACATGCTGGAATAACTGATTGGATACTAATTGGAAAAGCCCAGGATCTGTTTTATTGCCCAAAATGGTGTGTGTTTTGCCAGAAGATGTTTGGCCATATGCAAATATTGTGGCATTGAAACCTTCCATGAAGGAATCGACTAAAGGTTTTACTACAGATCCATATACATCTGAATTTGTACATTCCTGCTTAAATACATGGTCGAATATATAAACCTCTCCATGGCGACTACTTTCATCGGCTTCCCATATGCAGTTTACTCTTACGTTCCAAAGACGCTCTAGACCATCGGCTACTTCGCGGTGGATCATTGGTCTGATCTTTGTGGCTACTTTAATATTGTCGGAAGTCATTTTGGAAGCTTGAACTGAAATTTAATTAGAACTAGGGCTATTTCACGGGTTATAAAGAGGGGCACTTTTCATAATCCAGATTTCGTTTTGGCATTCCAGTTCAGCCATTTGATCCTGAAGCTCTTTTATAGTAGAATCATTATGGCATCGTATATCTGAGATTTTAAATGAGTGGTTGACCTCACGTTGGTTACTCTCGTCCATCAGACTCTTTACGTCATTTCTCAGTTTAGATTCAAGTTCTTTTAGGAAGCCAATTTCATCTTGCAGTTCAGCAATGTGTGACATCGTTACATCAGTTTGTGCAGCAGCACTTAAAGAATGTTGCATATCTTCGTACTCAGCGTCAAGCATAGCTTCTAAGTCTGCAACCTTCTTTTTTGACTCAATATTTTGAGCTTCAAGAGATGGTTTAGGGCTCTCTGATCTTCCTAGGTTCTTCAGTTGAGTACGCAGCATCTCTATTTCTGACTCGTATGTTTTAGTCTTTTTATTATTTTTTTCCAGAAAATCGAGTCTGTATTGCAAGTCGATGAAATTCTTGCGCTTTTTGAGAATTTTTTTGAACTCTTTCTATTTCTTCGTTGTACGCATCCGTTACTTGGCGGAGTTCCTGACTGTAACGATCGAATTTAGAATTGGCTTCTGTGAGCTGTTTCTTCAGGTCCAAAATCTCCAGCTGATTATCTAGTTTAGTGAATTCTCTAAGCTCATTGAAAGATTCTTCCAGTTCTTTGAGTTGTCTTTTAAGTACACTTGCACGTCTTCAGCTATCACAGATTCTGCTTCGGCTAGTGCCTCCTCATATGTCTCTTCTTGAATAGGCCTCATTTCACGTCCGGATGATTCTTCTTTGGGTGGATAATTTTTCAATGGCATATACCCTAGGGATGCTTTTTTAGGTGATACGTTGCCATAGTGTCCAAAAGTATGACGTCTTAATGTTTTTTTCGGTGTTGATGCCGAGGCTCCCATTTGAAAGCGCCCGACAATAGATACTTCCGTTTTTAGTCTTTCTATCTCGAGCAGATACTCTTGTTTGCTTTTATCCATCTCTTTTAGCTTAATTGCCTGCTTTTTGAGCCGAGTTTCGAGATCGCGAGTCAAGTTCTGATATCCTTGAAGTGTCTCTTCTGTAGCTGACAAGATGTTTACTTTCGTTTTATTTTTGACAGTTTTAGTGCTTTGGGCGAATTCTGGTGTAGATCTAGTCTCCTCCTCTGCAGCTAAAGTAACATTCCCGATAATCAATGATTTGGCATTACCGCCAAGAGCCTGTGAGAGCAGTCTAGTCAATTTCGAATCGCGATAACTGATAAACTCCTTCCCCTCGCTTAGTTGCCTTATCACATTTCCTAATACTGACAAAGATTTGTTTATGTTAGCCCCCTCTTTAAGACGCTCACCAGCAGCTTTCGTCAGAGAAACTCTCTCAGAACCAGCTAAGTCCATTAAGTTAAGGTAGCTTATATGTACAGGTCCATCTTTCTGATTGGCATCTTTCGACTCCAGAATAATCCGGAAAATCGTGTGTGATCGAGATGACCTCTCATTCATGCGAGTAGCTGCAACTCGTCTGATCTTATTGCCCTGCATCATGTTCTCCATAACTTTATCAACATTGTCTACGACAGCTTCCCTTGCATCAAGCAGCACATTTCCTTTGATATCTTCTCTTATAGTTAAACCCTGATTGCTCTTATCCAGGAGGTCATTGATCTTTTCATTGTAGATTTCAATATAACTGCATCTAATCAAGTACCTCTTATCAACCTGGTCTGCCACATGCTGGAATAACTGATTGGATACTAATTGGAAAAGCCCAGGATCTGTTTTATTGCCCAAAATGGTGTGTGTTTTGCCAGAAGATGTTTGGCCATATGCAAATATTGTGGCATTGAAACCTTCCATGAAGGAATCGACTAAAGGTTTTACTACAGATCCATATACATCTGAATTTGTACATTCCTGCTTAAATACATGGTCGAATATATAAACCTCTCCATGGCGACTACTTTCATCGGCTTCCCATATGCAGTTTACTCTTACGTTCCAAAGACGCTCTAGACCATCGGCTACTTCGCGGTGGATCATTGGTCTGATCTTTGTGGCTACTTTAATATTGTCGGAAGTCATTTTGGAAGCTTGAACTGAAATTTAATTAGAACTAGGGCTATTTCACGGGTTATAAAGAGGGGCACTTTTCATAATCCAGATTTCGTTTTGGCATTCCAGTTCAGCCATTTGATCCTGAAGCTCTTTTATAGTAGAATCATTATGGCATCGTATATCTGAGATTTTAAATGAGTGGTTGACCTCACGTTGGTTACTCTCGTCCATCAGACTCTTTACGTCATTTCTCAGTTTAGATTCAAGTTCTTTTAGGA